TTCCTGTCCTGTACAAACACCTCTGAAAGCACAGTACATTAAATTGTTCTAATTACGCATATTTGAGAACAAAGTGTGCTCCTTTGTGCTTGTCATTAGGAAAATCTTCAGTAACACTTTAAGTAAGTCGACCCACAACAGGCTTGCCGGATTGACATTTTAAGTGAGTGTCACAAGTGCAGTCAGAACTTTCCCATGGAATGGTCCACGCTCACTGTTCTTTGCCACCAATAGCCAACAATAGGACCTGACTGCCTGGGTGGTTCTCTTGATTACGATGCATTGCGGGCATCAACTCTGTGGAGCAAGAGGCTTATGTGATAAGAAGCACCTGCTATGTTTTATGGAAGGGAAGCATTATTTTAAGAGGCCATGTACTACGCAGAAAACATGCACACAGAGATCTAGCTCTAGATCGAGCATTCCCAAGAACACCACTCATGGGACACTCCCCCCAGATGAAGGAAGTGAAACAATTTTTACCCTTTCTTCTTCCTGTAGCCCCCAGTAACTCATGAAAAACTGCTCTGGAGGGTTAGGATCAATGGGGCTGCAGGGGGAAACAGTGAAAATGGCCTTTCCTTTTCTTCTAGTGGGAACTTCTACTGGATCTCAGTCCCTATGATGAGTGGAAGGCACCCTCTCATCTGAAGGCAGGCAAGGTCTAGGACCAACATTATTAGGCAACAGTAAAGCTTCAAAAGGACCAATTAAGATATATGGACAGAGCAACTTTAACTATATAATACCTACAGTGGGTTACTGAGACAAGTGCTTTCTTTAGATAAATGAAAACAGAGTAGGGAACTCTCTTCAGCCTGAGGGTACATTCTGAGCAACCTTCAGGGAGGGAGATGATAGTGGTGGGTGGGACCAGAGAGAAAAGTGGGTGGAGCAACAAGTGCAAAGTTCTACACAGAGAGACATGCTTCTCTGTCCGCCAGGCAGGCAGGCAGGCAGGCAACAGGCATTGTCAGAGTCCAGCTTGGAGAAACACTGGAGGAAGTTGTGAGGGTGGGCCAATGAAGGGTGTGGGTGTGTATGTGCGTGACCTGGGGAGAGTCCTGATGGAAACAGAAGCCCAGTCCTAAGGTTCCCCTCTCTGTATTAAAGGCTGCTGTGCATTTGTTTGGTTTCTGCCAGTGTGGACTATCCAGTTCATAGATAATATAATAAGGATTCAAAATGACATATTTGTTCATTGCTGGATAATGTCACTTGTTTTTATCCTGTGCACTATACGGCACAAATAGGAAGTAAAGTATTATTATTGGCAATGGGAATTGCCCAGGCATGAGTATTTTGCTTGTACACAAATTGTTTCCACTTTTCATTAGCAGAGGTTTTCCAATGTTTTCCTTGGGGGATTGTGAGAAATGTCAATAAGTTTAACAGCTTAGCTGCAACAGTTTACACACCTTTCTTCTTGTTTGTCCTTGTTAGATTGTTTAGTGTTTGCTCTGATCAGTTCACCTTAACTAAAAAAAGTATTATGGACTAGAATTCTTGCTTAACTTTTTTTTTTTTTTTTGCATTTTCCTTAGATTTTGATCGCTCCCTTGACTGCTATGTGGGATATATGTTGCCTTAATAAATAAATCAAATACATATAAGGCTACATTTATTACTGACAATGTTCAAAAGTTTGTTTGGAAGATGGGAGGTCTAATCAATCACTCCAGGAAATCATGTGATGAGCAACACAAATGATCAAAAACAAAACAGGGTGGGTAATAAATTAAATAAAAAAGAAGAGGATGTAGAGTTGACCTATTGGATCACAAGTCCATCCAGTCTAGCAACCTGTTCTCACAGTGGCCCATCAGATATCCATTGGAAGTCAAAAGCAGGACATGTGCACAATATCACTTTCTCCACTCATGTTCCCTAGCATACTGGCACTAGTACACTGCCATCTTGGCTCATCCTCCATTAACTAGTGAAATCTCTTTTAAAACCACTCAAGTTGACTGCCACGTCTGCATTCTGTGGGAGAGAATTCCACAGTTTAACTATGTGCTTTGTGAAGTAGTACTTCATTTCTCCTGTTCTGAATCTTCCAACATTCAGTTTCATTGGATGGTCCTGGGTTCTAGTATTATGAGAGAGGCCTATCCAATTTCTCCAATCCATGCATAATTTCATGCCCCTTTGCTCTTAGGGATTGCTCCAACCCCTTGATCATTTTGGTCCTCCTTTTTCTGAACATTTTCCAGCTCTACAATATCCTTCATGAGGTTGGGTGATGGGAACTGTGCACAGTATTCCAAGTGTGACTGCACCATAGATTTGTATAACGGTATTATGATATTGGCAGTTTTATTTTTCTATCCTTTTCCTAATGGTTCTTAGCACTGAATTCACTTTTTCCTCCACAGCTGCTGCACACTGGGCCAACATTTGCATCAATCTGTCCCTCACAACTCCAATATCTCTTTCCTTGTCAGTTGCCACCATTTCAGATCCCATTAGCATAAATGTGAAATTAGGGGGGGGGGGAATGTGTCCCAGTGTGCTTCCCTTTACACTTGCTGACAGAGAATCACACCTGCAATTTTAATGCCTATTAACCCAGTTTAAAGAAAGCCTTTTGGAATTCCTTTGAATTCCTTTTTGTCCTTACCTCCCTGAACAATTTGATGTCATCAAGAAAGCTGGGTTTGCCGCTGAGATCACACTTGACTTTACCTTTTGAGGGCTTCATTTCAAAAAATCCTACACCTAAAAGGGGGGGAATCTGTTCCATCCTTACTGCATTTCTGTTTGAACTTGTGGTAGCAGAACTTTAGTTGGTAGATTGCAGTAGCTGGGATTTGTTATGCTCTTAAGCTGCTTACTTGGGGTTTTTAATTGAACTTTAATTGGATATTTGGGAACCTTTGGGAGGGGACCTTGAGTGTTCCTATCCTCTGGGTGAGTTCCAAGCAGAGAGAGGCTGACGAGAAAGCAGACAGGCCTTCAGAAGAGCAGGTTCCTTGAAGAATGGAGAAAGAAGCCAATTGTGTGATATTGTAGTCAGTGTTCCCTGGGGAGGATAGAATGGGAGGAGGGGGTGAGGCTGGTAAAGCCTGAGTCAGATTGAAATCTTTCCCTCTTGTTCCTTGCTGGCTGCAGCTGGGCCTCACCCACTTCTTGCCTTCAAACCAGTGCCAAGTGCCACGGCCAAGAAACTGCTGATGACATATGAGCTGTATTCTTTCCAGCCTTGGTCTTCCTGCCTTGCTGCAAGGAAAAGAACTGAAAGCTGGACCCCAAAAAACATGACAGGAAAAATAACAATACTGGAATGGGGCTGAAGCCAGATCGCTGCTCCCCTCCCCCAGACCCCAGCTTCTCAATCCCCTCCTGCTTGTCGGATCCATTAACTACAAACTATGCAAAATGCCCGGGGGGGGGGGGTGTTGCTACAAAATGCAAAACTTTGGCACAGGTTTGGAGGCAACCCCAAATTTCAGGGTTTGTAGTCTGCTGGTTCTCTCTTTCTCTCAGAGTTGAAAAGGGCAAGACTAAAGGGACGGTCATTTTCTAAAGGGAGAAAGAAGATGCCTAGGGTAGAAATTCTTTAAAAAGGACACTGTGTGAAAAGATCACAGAACAGAGCTTTAAAAGGGTATGGACGGACAAATTTGTGCCTGGGTCAGACACTTCTTGCCTTCATAGAGAAAACTGGCTTATAATTTAGACCACTGGTCCATCTAGTTCAGTATTGGCTACACTGACTGACAGCTGCTCTCCATGGTTTCAGACAGAGATGGTAGACCACAGAGCTGGTGAGACACACACCAATGCTCATCAACTTTGGGGTGGCCAAACCCCCTCAAATATTTTAGTGGGACCTCGGCCCCTAGGAATTGGCTCCTATGCTGGAGAGAGCATTCCATAAACGGGGAGCTAGTGCAGTAAAAGAGGTTCCTTTCATGAGCAGAAGATATATTAAGTGGACCTGTCTTTGGTAATAGAAATCTCTCTGTTTATTTGTCAATTATGTTGATTCTGTAGAGGTTAGAGGTTGCCATTTAGCTACTCCTTGTATAGAATGGCGGGAAATAAGCCTAGTCTAGACCATTTGTGCAAACGTTTGCTTCCTGTTCCAAACTTGTGTGAATTGCTGATGTTTGGATGCTGTTGTCTTCCATCTGGAGCAGGAAGAATCAAGGGCGTATTTAAGAAATACTTATATTCCCTAGCTACATTGGCCATGTAACACACATGGAGATTTTAAGAGTAACTTGTGTTCCTATAAGCAGGTTGATTTTGGTCATTTACTATTGTTGCACAGCAACTTTTTATCACCCGAGATAACCTCTTTTAAAGGGTTAGGAATGACTAAAATTCCAGAAAGCTTCCAAGTGCTGAAGCTGCACCAATTGAATTTCTACTGGTAAAAGGAAGAGCAGCTCTCTTAAGAACTACATGGAAACCTTAGCTGCACATTCACTTTAAGAAAAGTAATTTGAAGCATTTGTTGTGAACATACTCCTTTGCAGAAGCAAATACCAAGCATGGTATAATACAATTGCTCAAGGAATATGGCAGCAGAAACATAGGAAAGTGTAAGGGGTCCTGAATAGATGTTGGAGTTCTTAGATGGACAACATGTCTCTGTCTCTTGAGCAGACGTACAGTTCCAAGACCTGGACTGGCTTCCTTCAGGCCCTTTTGGGGGGGGGTGTCATTCAAAACTGCATACGCACACACACAAATGCTTAGTAATTAACTTACTAATTTTTCACTCTTATTGAATACTGCATCTTCACTGCAGTTTCTATGCCATTTTCTCCCACTGTCATTGGGGTAACTGGAGACATTTGTTTAGTGGTAAATGCGTATTTTTTATTTTTAAAAAATCACAGAAACTAGAAGCTTTTGAAGCATTGGGTAACAAACACAAAGTAAAGTCCACAATTAAAGCATTTTACTTGCACAACTTGGAAGGACTCGGTTGATTAGAATGGCTTGCTGACCCTGGCAGAGTTACAGGGTCATTTTTCACATGAATCAAGGGTTCTGTTATTTATGCAGCATACCAGCATACTCTCCAGCAAACATGCACAGCTTCCCTTTCTACCTTTCGCATTAACTACTACTACTATTATTATTATTATTGTTTGCTCTTCACCATACGATACAAGGGTGAGTTACAACATTGCAAAAATACAATATTAAGATCAATTTTAAACCACTTACAATCAGAAGAATTTAGTGTGTCCTAAAATGTATCCTTCTCAGGTGTCAAAGGTACGGTCACCAGAATACTCCAGCTAGGAATAATGGAATAGGACTCTGGTTCTATTTTGTTGGTTTTTGGAACTGGGGCCATGATTAAGAAGGACGGCCAGGGGCATTTGTATTGTGCCACTAGAGGTGAAATTCTTGGACTGGCGCAAGAGGAACCAGAGCGAAAGCATTTGCCAAGAATGTTTTCATTAATCAAGAACAAAAGTCGGAGGTTCAAAGATTAACAGATACTGTCATAGTTCCAACCATAAACGATGCTGACTAGCGATCCGGCGGCGTTATTCCCCCCCACCAAAAAATAAAGGTAAAGAGGCATATGGTGCAGCTATATAATGATGCAGCTCTGTGGGGATGAAATGTCATAGCTTAGGGCTGCCACAGAGAATGCCATCTTCCTGGCCGCTCTCACAAACGTCTGAGGGTGGCGGAACTACCAAGAGCGCCCCTTCTGCTTATCTTAACACCTGACAAGGGTCTATAGGAAAGGAGACAGTCTTTCAGATATTTGAGACCTAAGTCATTTAGGGATTTAAACCCTAAATCAGGGGTAGGCAACCTATGGCCCATGGTTCACAAGCGGCCCACAGGGGTCGTTTAAATGGTCCACGAGCCGCCCCCAAACTGAGCCGCTTGCTCGGCAAGTCCCCGCGTACTGTGCTAAACTGGTGCAACACAGTGTGAAGACTCGATTCCGCGGTGCCGAAAATTGCATGTGCAGACATTGTAAATTGCGTCTGCGCAGACACAGATGCAGACGCTGTAAATCGCAGGCGTGCATGCTCATGCGCAGACACAATCTGGCCCATGGAGGCATCTCCACTGGAGTGAACTGGCCCAGGAGAGGTAAACCTTGCTGACCCCTGCCCTAAATGGTTGCATTTCAACCAGTTGAAGTTTCTGAGGCATCTCCAAGGATAGCTCCATGTAAGTAAAGGTAAAGGGACCCCTGACTATTAGGTCCAGTCGCGAACGACTCGGGTTGCGGCGCTCATCTCGCTTTATTGGCCGAGGGAGCCGGCGTAGAGCTTCCGGGTCATGTGGCCAGCATGACTAAGCCGCTTCTGGCGAACCAGAGCAGCGCACGGAAACGCCGTTTACCTTCCTGCCGGAGCGGTACCTATTTATCTACTTGCATTTGACGTGCTTTCGAACTGCTAGGTGGGCAGGAGCAGGGACCGAGCAATGGGAGCTCACCCCGTCGCGGGGATTTGAACCGCCGACCTTCTGATCAGCAAGTCCTAGGCTCTGTGGTTTAACCCACAGCGCTACCCGTGTCCCTAGCTCCATGTAGAGTGGGTTGCAAATAATTCAATCTGGAAGTTACTACAGTGTGTAGCACAGTAACCAAGCTATCTCTGTCCAAAAGGTTCAGGAGTTGGTAATATGTCCTCTTAGCTATGGAGGTCATCTGAGCTTGCAGTTGCAGGACTGGATCTAGGAGTACTACCCAGCAACAGGTAGCTTATCATATTTGAATGGACGTGCCAGATCTTCATCCTCCTGCATTCATGTTTGTAAGCCCCAATCTTCATGGTCCCCACTGGTGATACAGGTAGAAAAAGTAGAGCTTGTGCATCTATTCCAAACACCTAGTCTGATGAAGAGTTCTGGAGGACTCTAAAGCTTCCTTACTCTTTTGTGACATTTTTTGACCTAATAAAGGTTTACAGTGAATTTTGGGATTTTTCTTACAGACCAGCACAGCTACCTTTGCATTTAATTGAATTTGAGTCTGCTGAGCAGAGTGCCTTGTTTGTTTGCAGTTCTAACTAAATTGGAATTTTGGCACCTGATAGCCCTGCTTTAATTGGTTAAGTTGAGCCTTAAACAATACTAATCTATGTCTCTCATAGAAAGCGCCAAACCTGCATTACCTCTAATCGCAATAGCATTGTATTGGTGGTGCGTGTATAAGTAGCAGGGAGCTTTATTTGTGGATTAGCTTTTCTTTCATCTCTTGCTTTTCAAACAGGTGCCGGACAAAACCACTGCATAGCAGTTTGAAATGCTTATTTGTGCAGGAAGTGGTTTTTACAGTGAGAATTGAAAATAGGATTTCTGGGGAAAGAATAAATTTCAGTGGACCTTCAAACTTTGGAATTATTGCTGTTGTAGGCTATTCTGGGAGATGGGGGTGGGATATAAATGTAATGAATGACTGGATATATTTGTGACTAGTACTGCAAATTCACATTCAGAGCCAAATGCAGCAATTTTATTCCATTTTACCATTTATTAATGGCATTTTATATAGTCAGTTGAGCATTTCTATAAATACAAAACATGTGAAATGTATGTCAGCTCCTGGTGCAGCCTTGAAATATCTGGAAAGTTACTAGTTTGTGTGCCTGTGGGGGATATGACAGTAATACAACAGGAGAAGCTCAAAAGTAGTAAAAATGTTCAATCGCATATCATGATTTAATATTTCCAAATTTTAAGTTAATGAGTCATTATTTTGAACATTTAGCAGCACAAAGATAATGATGGTTTGATGACAGAACTGCTGATAAGGGACTGCTAAATCTTCCCAGGACTTCCAGTGGATTAAGGTGTGTGCCATCTTTTCAAGAAAAGTGAGAAGTCACACCCTTTATCCACTGGCAGTTTCAATTTCCAGGGTTTAATTGGTTTCTCTATTTAAATTTCATTTACCTGATCACCATAGATTTAAGCGTTATGGTGGGTAGATAATTGCACAAATCACATTCCATAACCTCAGTATACATAACTTCAGGGCTAACATTGGATAGAAACCAGTTAGCTTAACATCAAAGCATCTATCATTCCATTTAGCTAGTACAATATGTCCAATGTACAAAAGCTTAAAGTTATGTTACATCTGTTCAGAAGAAGTGAAAGAAAGGGAGTCTTTCCCAAACTGCAGAAGTGGCAGTTGGGGCTCTACATGAAAGCTACAAAGGGCTGCCATGTGTCTCGGAATGTATCTTGTTTTATCTTCACCTGCTGCTAGGCAATTTTCACAGATTTCAGTCAATGCATCTGTGAGTCATAGAGACATCCTCCTTATATTTCCAGAACCGGGCAATTTCCGCACAGACCACTATAAATAAATATATAATGAGATATTTATGAAGAATATGAAGATGGAGTGTAAAACTAGCACAGGATCCATGTTGAACAATTCTTACATTATGTAGCTATTTATATTGGTGAATATTAGCTGCCAAGCAGTCAAAAGACCTAGATTGCTGGACACTTCCATCAGAGCAATTTGAACAGATACAGAAGTTTCAAAGGTCAATAAAAATAAGTCTGTCGATACAACATGTCCTCAGTTTTCATTGTATGAGAGTTGGTCCAAGGTAGTTTTTTTTATACTGGGCCCCTCTAGACTGGTATACTATTGTGAATGTATTCTGCTGCATGTCCTTGATGCAGTAATAGTGTGTTAATTATGGATTTGGCCTGCTTTAGTTTGTTCTGCAGTGTTTTCCCAATTCTATAACATTATTACTGTTCAAAGAGGCTATAGCGCAACAAAAGTAATACAAAAATGAATCAGAACATTTGTGGTATAAAAAGTTCCAGGATTTCAGCAGGAAGTTCCAGGATATACACTGATTGGAAATGAAGCAATGTGAGCACCCTAAAACATGTGAAGGTGAAAACAGTATCAAAAGTGAGATTGTTTGTGACCACCCTGATAGCATCATGAGCACAAATCATCATGAACGTGCAATAAAAATGACATCTGGAGGTCCCACTGTAAGCAAAATGCCTAATATTTGTATGTTGTTTTTTGTTCCTTCTTCTCCATGCATTGTACTTCCAAACTGGGATGAATTTATTCTCCACTGAAATACAAGCACCAACTGAATGGTTCATACTGATCACTGTTTAACAGCACTTGGCAGTCCAGTATAACAATTTAAGCCACACAATGAAAAATAACTTACTAAATTGTTAATACAAGGGTAATTTTAGGGAGACAGAATGTAACTGCATGAGGTAGAAAAGCCAGACAGCCTGGCAAGACTAACAGCCCTGGGCTTCTGAAAGTTGCTGTGGAATCCTGACACTATTGGCCACAAGAGGTCAGGGCCTTTTGTCATGAAAACAGTTGAACAAGAGTTGCCTGCCCAAGTAGAGGTACCCAAATAAACTTAAGCATAGCCTATGCATTTAACTAAACTTTTGTCCTCACTTTGGTCCCCACATACTGGAAGTGTCTCTTGCATATTGTTTGTTATTTCTTGGTTGTGTTAACTCGCATACCTTATAGCTCAATGAGATAAAGCCTCTCCTTTATAAGTGTCCACATAGCTCTGCAATGCCTCCTGCACTGACTCAAACAGTTTTTGTGCAATACAGTGGTACCTCGGGTTATATCGGCTTCAGGTTACATAGGCTTCAGGTTACAGACTCCGCTAACCCAGAAATAGTACCTCTGGTTAAGAACTTTGCTTCAGGATGAGAACAGAAATTGCGTGGCGGTGGCACAGCAGCAGCGGGAGGCTCCATTAGCTAAAGTGGTGCTTCAGGTTAAGAATAGTTTCAGGTTAAGAATGGACCTCCGGAATGAATTAAATATGTAACCAGAGGTACCACTGTAAATCCAATGGTTAGACAGATTGATGGATGGATGAAAATCTGTTATGTACAGATTATTGTGGATTGACATGTAAATGGAAAGTGGTGGTTTTTGTGGAGTTCTCCTTCAACCAAAATATATCAGATTAATGATACCTATAAAGAGGTATTTGCCTGAGAATATCAGGAAGTAATAGGTTGCATTCAGCTATTTTTTTATACACAGTGGACCCTTTGAAATAAAAATAAACCCTTGTTAGTCATGACCATTAATTTAAATGGGTACACTTTGAGTAAATGTTAGCTGAATACAACCCACCGTTTGCAACTGCATTCACAAAATATGGTCCAGCAAAATGTATCAGGGTCATTATGGGAAACACCTTAACAACCATGTAGTCTTTGATCTGACATAGTTAAGATCAATCTAATACAGTGGTACCTCAGGTTACATATGCTTCAGGTTACATATGCTTCAGGTTACAGACTCCGCTTACCCAGAAATAGTGCTTCAGGTTAAGAACTTTGCTTCAGGATGAGAACAGAAATCGGGCTCCAGCAGTGCAGCAGCAACTGGAGGCCCCATTAGCTAAAGTGGTTAAGAACAGTTTCAGGTTAAGTACGGACCTCCGGAACGAATTAAGTACTTAACCTGAGGTACCACTGTAGTCCAAAACAGTGATTTCATGCTGATGCTCCAGTACTGATGCACACCTATAACTCCTTTAGTCTCCTTAACCATTCATTTCATTGAAACAAA